AGGATCAAGGTTGATAGGTTTTTGTGGAACATAGTGGATCACGATTGATGACCAGGTTTTTTTTTTGAGGGGGGGGGGGGAGAGAATTGTGGTATTGGGTGATTGGCAATAAAGGGGTGGATCGAGTGGTTATTGTTTCTTTTGAAGAAGTATCGTTGCCAGAAATTGAGAGAAGATTTATGCAGATTTCTTAGGTACGTGATATTGGATTATGTTTGTAATGATTATGGGTTGTGTGTTGTGATAAAAGTCAGCTTGATTCTTCAAGTTGGAGATGAAATTCATATTACACGTAATGTGTTTCAATGTATATGTCAAAATAAAGTGTTGGTCATTTATGAAGTGAATTTTAAAATGAGAAGTTATCAATAGTATTTATCATCTTGTGAGCATAATTCTGAAACAAACGTCTCTGAATTTTAAAACGCGACAAAACAAATGCAAATGTAATAAAATGTTTGAACATTGATTATTATAAATAAATTTCTTAAATTATCTACAAATCGAAAAGTAAATGCAAATATGCATTATGCGTAAAGCAAAATATTTTAATTGATAAATAACTCTTAAAGAAAATATCATATAAAAGCATTATTATCTATTATGAAAGTTATTAAGGAAATCAGAAGAAAAAGAGTTGATAATTTCATCCCCCTTTTCTGTAATTTCAACATGGAACATAAATTTCTCAAATTCATTAAATACTAAATATAAATGTAAGTTATGTATAAAATAATTCATCATTATATTGATATAGTAATTAATTATTATTTACTGAAGAAGATGTTAAAGAAAGAGATTCAATTTAAATAATCTATTTCTTTTTTCTGTAATTCCTACAACAAACATATGAAGTTTTCTCAAATTTATATAACGTCAAAAAAAAAAACCAATGAAAATTAAATACAAAATAATGGCAAAATATTAAAATAAAGTAGCTTTAGCATCCACTAAAGAAATTGTAAAAAGAAAATAAATTAACTTCTTATCTTACAATATCGAATCATTGTTTCGATTCAAATGAAAAGATAAACTCTAGTTTTATGGAACTTGAATTCAAATTTGAGAATCAATAAATATAAATTATATGTATAACGTTTCAATACTTTTCCAATACGATGTAAATGAATTAAAACGACGCTTACGTGAGAAGATTGAAAATAAAAGATAATGATAAATGGTTCAGTAATCAAAATTCACCTCTACTTTTTTTACACAACCCACAAAAGTACAAAACAAACTTCCCTGGTCTGTCAAATATCAAAAACACAACTTGAAAAAAATTTCTTCCCATCTGAGACCTGGCATTATATAAATAATATTTCACACGTTCCATGTATACTTCAATTTTCGATCAATCTAGATTTTGAACATTTCAATAAACGTCTCCAATCAAACGTAAAAAGGAAGAAAGCAAGTTGAAAAATCTCCTTCTATCTGAAACTTGTTTCATATACAGTTCAACGTTTGATCAATATTTTTAGACATGTTCCACGTATATATAATTCCAGCTTCACTGACAGGGACGAACGGAGTTGTCCCCCGGCATTTCCAATGTCTCGGGGGCGAAAAGATGTCCGCGGCCCTCCCATTTCCGTTAAATGAACCACGAAAATGAAGAAAGCCAATGGCGATGGTATCGCTCGATTATAGCCGACAATTCTCTATTACTATGTATCTCGTGAATCTCGTAGCGGCTGCGTGGTCACTCTCCAGTTATAAAGGATATCGCCGGGCTCGATCTATTGCCGGCTCGCTTGCGCGAATTCTTAAGAAGGCCTTTGTCCAGTTAATTCGATACCGGTGTACCGTGAATTTCCATCGAAATTCAACGATCTCACGATCGGCCAACGATATCGCCCCGATTCGAGCAACACCGGTACCATTGCAATTAATTCGCGACGACGCGATGTCCCTTGTCCCTCTGATAAGACGCGTGGAATTTTCTCGCAAACAGCTTCATTCGCCTGTTCGTCCCTCTTGTTTTGTTAAATCGGTGCAGTTTTTATATATTTTTCGTCGAATGTAATTTGCCAATGTTAGTGCTTTATATATTTCAATAGAATATAATTCGTATTTATACATTTATGTATTTATATATTGATTTATATTTATATATTTGTATATCAGTTTTTATATATTAAGTTTGTATATTTATATTATTAATTTATATATTATATAATAATTTTATATAATATTATAATTATGTAATATTATTATTTATATTTATATATTATATAACATTAATGTAACATTAGCATATCAATTTGTATATTAAGTTTGTATAGTTATACATTTATATATTATATAATAATTTTATATAATATTATAATTATGTAATTATTATAATTATAAAATTGTATAATATTATTTATATTTATATCTTATATAACATTAATGTAACATTAACATATTAATTTATATATTAAGTTTGTATATTTATACATTTATATATTATATAATAATTTTATAAAATATTATAATTATGTAATTATTATAATTACAAAATTATATAATATTATTATTTATATTTATATATTAAGTTTATATATTTGTATACTATATAACATTAATATAACATTAACATATCAATTTAGATATTAAGTTTGTATATTTATACATTTATATGTTATATAATAATTTTATGTAATATTATAATTATGTAATTATTATGATTACAAAATTATATAATATTATTATTAATATTATTATTTATATTTATATGTTAAGTTTATACAGTTATATATTATATAACATTATTATTATATTATATAATAATTTTATATAATACTATAATTATAAAATTATATAATATTATTATATTTATATGTTAATTTTGCAATTTATGTATTTTAGATTAGAAATATAAATCCACAAGCGTTAGAATAATTTATTTTAGATTGAATTACTATCGCAATTGAAAAAAAGTGGAAGTACATTTTTCTTAATGACAGATTGATTTTGCAACGAGTTTCACTTTCTCCCATGCTTTCACCCTGAAGGACAGATTTTACCGCGCGACTACACGCTCGTCGATCTTCAATGACTCCCCTACCAGGGTTAAATACTGATCCATCAGCAGATATCACCAACAGATACACTTTCTAATAAGCAGGGGTTCCAATCATCTGTGTTGTTTCCACGTTGAAGCTCCTTTGCAAAGAGAGGGTAAAAGAGTATCTTTTTTTTTTTTCGGGGACAGCGATCGCGATTCTTCCCCCTCGAGAACAATCGATAATATTTAATTAAACTACCTAAGCCAGTGATGTAATTTTCTACTATCTTGTTTTAATAGGACAATGTTTTAACTTGATACTAATGCAAAGATGGTTGACAGACGAGTTGACAATTTATAAAAATAAAATAAAAATATCGCGACAATTATTTCCTTATTTCAGAGGGATCATCTAGGGATTTTAATTACTACGTTACGTTAACGCAATGAACGTTAATTTCATTTGCAGTTCTTTTCGTTTATTTTCATTTATTTTCATTCATTTTCATTCTATGGTTCATCATAGGGGGTTGTAAAAAGAAATTTCAAGCATTTGCTTAATATTCTGTTTTTATTATTGTCATCAGCTTGGATTTTATATTTTGAATTTTATGAAATTTTCAGAAATTGAAATATTTGTGATGTTTTGATAAATTATTGCTTAATCTTAAGGAACTCTAAACAACTTTAAACAACAGTTTAAAATCCACGCAGTTAATTAAAATTTAATCATGGAACTTTTAAAATCTAAAGAATTTCCAATTTTTAATTACATCTTAATGAATTCAAAAATGCGTCTCAGAAAAATAATGATCTTAAAAATTATGATTCTTTTCTCACCAATATTAAAATGTTGGAAAATTTCCAGTTTATTGTTTGAATATAGCATTGTTATGTCTCAATCACTAAACGTCTCAAATAAATAGAAAATTCTCATATTTCTTGAAACTCAAATTAATTCATTGTCAATGAAAATAATAACCAAATTATGGATTTTTACAGAAATGCTAAAATATAGATATGTATTTATAGATAAAGACATTTGTAGACAAAGTATTTAAAATGTGATTGAAGTTCCTACGCAATTGTTATAATATTCAGTGAATTTAAATTTCGTTTCTTCACTAGTATTTTTATTCATAACAATTCTGTATAAACATTTACAGTCCAACAGTATCTAACATTCACTAAAATAGTCAAAATGACCAATTTACAATTTCAAAAGAAATTATTATAGATATTTTATAGATACAAAACTATTTTTAAAAACTCAAATGAAAATTCCTCCTAAAAAAAATATATATAAATGAAGCTTTTATTTATTGTATTGTATAAAGTTTTTCTATTTTTCTATTTTTCTTTTTTCTTTAATGTCTCTGAATGGAAATTTTAAGCTTTGATTATTGGTGGTTCTGTTATTATAATATTATAAAAATAATTATATTATGTTTTATATTATAATGTTATAAAAATAATTATATTATGTTTTATATTATAATGTTATAAAAATAATTATATTATGTTTTATATTATAATGTTATAAAAATAATTATATTATGTTTTATATTATAATGTTATAAAAATAATTATATTATGTTTTATATTATAATGTTATAAAAATAATTATATTATGTTTTATATTATAATGTTATAAAAACAATTATATTATATTTTATATTACATTTTATATTATGTTATATTTTTATTTTATATTAATATTTATATTTTATATTATATTATATTATAATATTATTAATATAAAATATAATTATATTACATTTTATATTATAATATTATTAATTTATCTACTTTTTCTTCTCTTCTTACTTCAACGTCTCTGATCGATATTTTACGACTGAAGTTGTGTGTCGCGTGTTAACGAGCTATTTCGACCCGATTTGCGCTTCTTCTTAATAGAGCGTTCACACCTTACAAAATATCGTCGCAGTATCGACAAATTGTTAACGCGGCGGAGTATCAATAGGGTTAATAACGAGGTACTTACCTTTGCCAGACTTATTTGGCGGTGGCCCATCCCGATTCCATGGCGGGTCTCCGTGACCCGAGAACTCCCGAAGTTTGAGGTACGAGATGGTTAGCCTTATTATAGAGGCTTTGTCCAACTGGGAGGTAATAGCCGCCGGTAATGGCAGCATTTTCGCTAACTCGTAGAACTCGAAGTTCTCTTTCCCCCTTCGAGACCTGGCAGCGTCTCTGCTCTTCTCCTTGCGCAGCTCGAGGATGCTGTAACAGACAGAGAAGAAGAAACGGGAGAAGGTTAGACGAGCAGGAATCACGTGGCACGGATAAATCTAATTCTTTTTTGCTGTTTATCTCTTTTTTTCATTTTTCCTCGTGGCTTCGATCGTGTCAGAACGTTCGCTCACGAACGTGGAACGCAACGGATTTCAATTTCCTCGATTAGCGTGATTTTTTTGACTTTTATAAATTAATTTCAAATTAAATTAATATAATATAACTGTACTATATTTATTAATGTCATTGAAGATGCATGCGCGTGATCTTTTATTATTTCATTATATTTCTAATACCACAGAAGAAAATTTATTTTTACTTGTCGATTCAGTATAAATCGAGAATAAAACTTCAATTATTCAAATTGAAATAGCGTCGCAAGTCTACTTACGGATTGATATTGTGTTATTTACTTTAAAACCAATTGTATCGATATATTTGAAGCCTACGAAGCTTGTATCAATATTTCTGAATATACAGTGATAACTATATTTGTGATAGGTATAAACTATTCTATGTTATATCAGTTATCGTTGTACTGGGTTATCGTTCATTTCAGCAAAATAAATAAATTAAATTTATCACTATTGAAAGAACTAATTAATTGTTTGCGTCTGTAGTTTATTAGTTATAGATATAGTCTATTGAATAGTGATTTAAAAGACTTTCACAAATAAATTGAAATATTGATATGATATTAATAATAAGCAAACATTAAAATAATATTATCAATACTTTAATAAATTAATAAATTAATGCTAAAGTAATAAAAATGAAACGGTAACGTTTGTTTATAACTTCAAAAAAAAAACTATCTAAACAAAATCTACTAAATAATACTGTATGAAATTCATTTTATTCCATTAGTCTACTCTTTTACTATCTTAACATCAAAGTTTCATAGGTATATTAGTATTTAATATTGAAATCAGAGTAGTCATCAGTCAAGCTGAATAATTCATAATTTTTTAATCGAAATTTTATCATTTATGAAACGGTATATGTATAACTTTAAAGATTTGAATAACTTTTCATAAAACACTATATTATACTATTAATATAATATATTATAATTATAATACTATATATATTAATATTATATTACAATATTATTATACTATAATAGTATTATAGTATATATACTATACTATAATATACTATAATAGTATACTATAATATAGTATAGTATACTATATTAATGGTATACTATACTATAATATATACTATAATATAGTATAGTATCATAGATATATTATATAATATATATTACAATATAGTATAGTTTCATAGATATATTAGTATTTAATATTGAAATCAGAGTAATCATCAGTCAAACTGAATAATTCATAATTTTTTCATTGAAATTTTATCATTTATGAAACGATATATGTATAACTTTAAAGATTTGAATAACTTTTCATAAAACACTATATTATACTATTAATATAATATATTATAATTATAATACTATATATATTAATATTATATTACAATATTATTATACTATACTATACTATAATATATACTATAATATAGTATAGTATCATAAATATATCATATAATATATACTACAATATAGTATAGTTTCATAGATATATTAGTATTTAATATTGAAATCAGTCAAACTGAATAATTCATAATTTTTTTATCGAAATTTTATCATTTATGAAATGATATATGTATAACTTTAAAGATAATTTGAATAACTTTTCATAAAACACTATATTATACTATTAATATAATATATTATAATTATAATACTATATACATTAATATTATATTACAATATTATTATACTATAATATACCATAATAGTATACTATACTATTTATAATATAATAATATACTATACTATATATTAATATGATATTATAATATTACATAATATTAATAGTATATGAACATAATATTATATAGACAGATACAAGCTAATCGCCAACGATTCTAATGACAAGTATTCATTTTATATATGTTACTCTCACGGCAGAGAGACGACGTTTGATAAAACATCGAGTTTATTCCGTTTTCGTTTCTCTTTTATAACCGATGCCGCAGAATCCACGGTATAATTCTGTACGATGTTAGCGCGGTTGTTTCTACAAGTTTACGACAAATCGAAGCGCGTAACCGTCCACGCATTCGGAATCGAAACGAATCTTCGATTTCCTATCCGAAATTCAGCTACGCGCATATTCGTCGGTAGCCATAAGATATTCGTTTCGCGTAGCCCTTCCGCAAGGACTCCCGTATTTGATATGCCAGCAACGAATTAACCGGCAATCGCGTTATAATACAGCTATTGACCTAGAGTACGTAGCACCCTTTGGGTGACTTATTTTTCGATTCCACGGCAAGTTCACCCAAAGGTTAACGACGGGACTATACTACCGACAAGAAAGTATAATATTTGTACCAAACGAAGTTGAAGTGCAAGCTGCAAGGAAAACTTAATAATACAATAAAGAATACAAGCGTAATAAATTTTATTAACTTCTTGGTTGGCTGGAATGACGAGAATATTTCGCCCGAAATTGCAATATATTCACAGTTTTAAGTATACTGAGGTAGAACGCAGGCAAAGCGAATAATAAATTTGTTAAACTGCTTCGCAGTAATTTCTATCCAGTGATATCATAACGACGAATGTTCAGAAGGAAAGCGACGAATGTATTGTACACGGTGTTCTGGTCGCTCGTTATGGTCCGCAATCAGCTGCCAGCGCAACTGGTTAACGAAAAGCGTTGAATTTAGAAACTCGTTTCGTCTCTCGGCGTCGCGACACTGTAATTCTTAACAACTTTCATCTCGTTTTATTTCACTTTACGCCGGAAATAAACAAAAGTTTAAAAATTTAGGACGCAGTCGTCTCTAATTCGTTTGGTGGTATATTTAAAGTACTGCTTCGTATAGACGCTTATATCATATTTCAACCCTCGGAGAAACCGCAATTTGGATGGAATTTATTTCGCTCGTATATTTTGTTTATTCATATCCTTTGTAAATAAATTTTCTCAGGTTTAAGTATATTTAAATATACTTAACTTCTCGGTAATTTCGATCCAGTGATATCATACCGACGAGTTCAAAAAAAACCTATTCCTATCTATCTACGTGCTACAAATTAACATAAAAAATTTTATAACGATACATAAAGAACCAACGGGGATGAAAAGATTTTTCAGAATGGATAAAAATTCGCCACAAAAGATTTGTCAGCGAAATTTCATCCAGGGCGTGAACGTCGAAGAGGCATTAATCGTTGGTGGTTCCGTCAACTCGAATTGCCCCAACGTTGAAATGCCTGGCAATAATTAATTTCTAATAAAGCTACAGAAACAACTAATTATTTTCGTCGATTTGTCGACAGTTTGCAAATGGACAGGCGAGTATATAGGCGTGGCGGCGAGCGGCCGCGATCGCCAGATCGCAAACGCGCGGCAAAAGCGGCCACCCGCTCGGCTGGCATACATTATTCAAACGCTATCATGCCTGTGTTTGCTGACATGCCAGCCGAATGTATCTGGGTGAATGTCGACGTAACATTAACCACGCCCCGTGGACTGCCCCTCGATTCCGGTTTTGCATTTAAACATTAAACGCCGGCCAATGGGAATGTAATCCGCATTATTCGAAACCCGTTCCTCCCTCTACTCGTCACGGTCATTAACCTTTTGTCAACCAGGGAGCAATCGGTGGCCGTGTTCGCCGAACCAAAGACCTGTTCTGAACCGAGCGTTCGATCATGGTGAATTTATGCCGACGACGATACTATTTTCGCGCGGCGCACAGGGGGTGAGAATGGGTTTCGGTTCGAAATTATTATAATGGAGCGATAAAAATTGTCTTCAGAGGTGTCTCTTATTTTGTGCATACTATCTGTTATACTTGCTTGTTTCTAGGAAATTAATCTCTGTAAGAGTGAGCGTCAATTAGGGTTAAATTTCGTTAGCAACCCTCAACGATCCAAAAATGAGTAAATCTAGCGTAAAGGTTTTTAATTCAAGAGCTTTGTTTCTATTGGATATATTTTTGTGTTTGTTTTATGTATCTGTTATTTAATAGTGAATAGTATAATCAGAATATTTTGTATTTATTATATTTGGTTGACTTGCTTGTTTCTAGGAAATTAATCTCTATAAGAGTGAGCGTCAATTAGGGTTAAATTTCGTTAGCAACCTTCAACGATCTAAAAATGAGTAAATCTAGCGTAAAGATTTTAATTCAAGAGCTTTGTTTTTATTGGATATATTTTTGTGTTTGTTTTATGTATCTGTTATTTAGTAGTGAATAGTATAATCAGTAGAATATTTTGTATTTAGTATATTTGGTTGACTTGCTTGTTTCTAGGAAATTAATCTCTATAAGAGTGAGCGTCAATTAGGGTTAAATTTCGTTAGCAACCCTCAACGATCCAAAAATGAGTAAATCTAGCGTAAAGGTTTTTAATTCAAGAGCTTTGTTTCTATTGAATATATTTTTGTGTTTGTTTTATGTATGTGTTATTTAGTAGTGAATAGTATAGCCAGAAGAATATAGACTATAATAAATGTAGTGAGTAGATATGAAAGTTTAGAATGATACTGTCTTTTGATATTTTTTAACAAGTATATAATGTAAGAGTTGTTGCGTAAGTTTGTAAGTTTTTAAAATAGAGGTGACAAAATTATATTGTATTTAATTAATTAGTTATTTCTGCCTAACTTAGTTCAATTATCCGAATTAATGATATGTCTATCAATTTTTAGAAATGGAACCATATGTTCTTGCTGAAAAATTATTTTTTCAGAGATTAATATATACTACTATGTTACAATGACTGTTGCATTCCATAAGTAATTTTGGATTTAATTTCTATAGTTACAAATTGGAATAATTATTGACTAATAATTGGTTCGAATTATTGACTTTCTATTGTAACTGCATATTATTATATTGCACATGTCTTCTATACGTACACACTAATTAATTATGTCCAAATACCTATTTAT